TATTATATATATACATACATACTAAGACTGGCCAAATCGAACTCGCCTGTGTGTGTTTTTTGGAGCCAGGTAAGGCTGTAGCAGGAGTTAAGTGGTGAACAGATCACCAAGAAGAACCACAGTTTCTCAAAAGTTAATTAGTGATTAAGATTTGAGCTGTCATGACAGTACATGTTCTTGTTAACTGACAGTGACTAGAGACAGGTTTAAGGATACATACTACTGATGAAGTTATAATATGTACAGTTTAAGACAGTCTTGTCCTTTGTAAGCAACAGAAGAGTCACATTGGCAAGAAATGTGATCTTAATGTGGGGGCTTTCCTCTCTAAGGGCAATTACTCATTTCGCCGAGCCGGATGACGTCACCACTGGACACACAATACGAAGGAGCGCATCGTGGCGCCTTAATTGCCTCTTTGGGCTTATTTTTATAGGGGAAGTGCTATTTGAATTTTGATAAATATTAATTTGGATTTACTTGGAACTGAACCAGAACTATTATCAGCAGCCAATCTCTTGTCCCCTACAGCTGACTAAAAGTTAACCAACTACCACTGTTACTACTACTGTAGCAACAAGAAGAACACAAGACAACAAGATAAAGAAAAATTGAATCGATTAATACGGAAAGCATGCACAATTCCCATACTTCGATGAATTATACATTACCACTTGCACGAGAAAAATTCATTCCATCTTTTGGGATAATAAACATCTCTTGTTCCCTTAAATAAAAATACCAATCGTAAGTAAAGGACCTCGGCTTCTGATCTGTAACAAACAAAGATACAGAAGATCATTCCTTCCATCATCCACTAAACTTCTACCATCTTAATCATCTTGTTATAAATATTCCTATGACCTTTTAAGCATGTATTAGAATACCATTGAGTTACAATCAGAATTGGCGCTCATATGACCGTATGCAGTTGCGAGTGCCGTAAAACCCTCTACTAAAAAACAACAATAAAAATACTGAGTACATATGTACTTTAACATTACTAATGCTTATAATTACTGTTCATTTACATTATGCATGTTTGTGACTGTGAGCCTGTTTGTGAGTGCAAGCATACTATTGTATGTTTATGTGCACAGATGTGTGTGGAAGAGTGGATGTGTTAAGGAAGAGTGCATGTGTATACGGGTGTGCACATGTGCGTGTGCATATATGGTGTGTGCAAGTTTGTGTTAGTGTGTCTTTGTGTGTGTGTGTGTGTGTGTGTATGTGTGTGTGTGTGTGTGTGTGTGTGTGTATGTGTGTGTACATGGTGAAACATCAAACCAATGTGTCTGATCTGGACAAAAAAGATGTATCTTATCTATCTCATATTACCTTATCTTTATAATTATACTGTTACTACTACTACTACAATTATTTTTACTACTACTACTACTGCTACTGCTACTACTACTACTACTACTACTACTACTACTACTACTACTACTACTACTACTAACTAAAAAAACATAATACCTATAATGATATAATGATAAAAGTAATGAACCATTGTCTTTTTTTTCAAATATTGCTGTTTACTTTTCTTCACGCATATCTCTGGAAATTTTTGGATTCTTTTTCAGGATGCTAGTCTCTATCATGTCGCCTCCAACAAATGCGTCCGATCCTTAAACACTGATCCAAGACTGACCGTCGCAGAATGCACAGACGATGTTCATCAGAGATGGATATGGCAGTGAAAAGAATTTGCAAAGTCCTGTGCAAATTCATTAACAGAATGGAGAGTTGAGAACTATGAGCTGTAGATATGCTTATGTTATTTATTAGCAGATACAGTTATTATTTTATAAATAGAACAATTAAATCTTCAACAAATAGTTTTGATTCATCCAACGATTACCAAAAAAGTAGATAAATTATTAAACGAAGTGACTATTCCCAGTGACACTGGGGATCGGTACAGAAACTATTCCCAGTGACACTGGGGATCGGTACAGAAACTATTCCCAGTGACACTGGGGATCGGTACAGAAACTATTCCCAGTGACAACGGAACTCGTTTGCTTTAAAAAATCAGAAGTCTGTGCACTGTAGACTCTCTTCTCACTGCAGTTCAGTGGGCTAGGCTACTTTTGTTCTCTTCTCTTACTTAGGGCCATAGAGTTACCACCTTTTAGTGCCTATAGTGCACATCTGTGCTGAGGGCTTAGACTTGACTGTAGAATAGATCTAGAATCTAGAACTAGATCTAAAAGACAGAAGAATCCGGAAGGATTTCTACCTGTCCTGTACCGTGGTCCCCAAAATTCGTATGTAGATCTACACGTACATAAATAAATTACGACTGAATAACAAGCAGGCATAGACTGATTATTCTTTTTTCTTAAAAAAAAATTCTTCCACTCAAACTAGAATCTACTTTAGTTTAGTTAGATCTAGTATCTTGCCAGAATTAAGATCTAGATTTAGATGTAGATTAGATATAGTCTAGTATTTAGTAACCAATCACCATCATGCCCAAGTAGATCAGCGTGGAAATAATAGATATAATGGGCCTGTCTGTACTCAGTGTCACTGGAAATAGTTTCTAGGCCTATTCCCAGTGACAGTGGGAACAATTCTGCCCTGGGCCCAATTGCCAGTGGTTTCTGGGCCTGTCACTGGGAATAGTTTCTGGATCTATTCCCAGTGACACTTGAATAGTTTCTGGACCTATCCCCAGTGTCACTGGGAATAGTGCTTTCCATTATTAAAATAATACGTGAGCAATTTTTTAAATTGATTGATTATTGCAGGGTCGAAGAGTCTACATAGATCTAGATCTAATCAAATAATCTTTCATTCCCTTCAATAACTCGGAAACATCGTCGCTGTCAATCTCACACATAGACGAAGGCCTTAATGCCTTATACATACTTTTTCGCATCGTTCGGCTATCACGGTGTGCATTCCCTAAGAACGCCCTTATTCTATGGGCACCATAACCTGGAAACGAGCGATTTTGGGGTATTCTCAAAGAAATAAATGTTTTCAATCATAGACGTCTGTATTTGATGACAAAGTAGAGTTCAAATTTTTGTCAACTCAGACATGAATTTTAGGACCACATTCACTTTCTTTGAGGAAAGTCGTCAACAGTACAAATGAACTTATGTGGGTGAAAAAAAAAGGTTTTCCAAACAAATTCTACACCCAGATACATACACTAAACAGTTTAATGGTGTTTCTTCAATGCTCTTAACGCCTGTTCAGATAAGCGTGGTCCATGATAAATCTCTCTCTCTCTCTCTCTCTCTCTCTCTCTCTCTCTCTCACACACACACACACACACACACACACGCACACACACTCTCCATTTCTCTCTTAAAATGTAACTAGAAGTTTAACACCCCCTCCGACATTATTTAGATCATTAAGGAGGCTGGTTTCGGACCATGCCTTGCAGGACCAACGTGGGTTTAGAGAAATCGAACATCCCAGCAGAAAGAACTAGGTACTTGATAGATATTTTCTCCCCGCTCGGGAATCGAATTCGGGTATTCGCCGTTCGATAGCAAAGCGCCTAACCAAAGATGCCTGTTTTCTCTCTCTCTCTCTCTCTCTCTCTCTCTCTCTCTCTCTCTCTCTCTCTCTCTCCCTCTCCCTCTCTCT